TCATAATTGCAACACTTCTTTTATGGAAATCTATATCTTGAATTGTTTTGGTTTTTTTTAGAAGTTTGAAAATTTGCCTTAGCAGAATAGAAATATACTTTCCTTGTCATCTGAAATGTAGGAGAATATAGGTACCCCTTAATCTTCAGAATTTTTTTGCCCCCGCCATAAAATGGTCGGGGGGGGGGGGGGGGGCATATAGTGTTACCCTGTTCCTTCATTCTGTCATTCCGTCATCATTGAATTTCCGTTCATTATCTCGGCAACAGTTGTACACATTCAACTCAAATTTGATATATGGATACGTCATAGGAATATGCAGTCAAGTTTGAATTGAATTTGGTCATGGTATTGACAGTTACCTCCCTTGAACTTGGAAAAGATTTAAAAATTCTCAATTTCTAATCATTATCTTGGCTACAAATGTGCAATTTACAATTTGCAATTTGAAATTTTGGCTGTGTGCGGGGGCATTTGTGGTGTTACCACACACATCTTGTTTGTAAAATAAAATCCTTGCCCTTTGGTCTTTGTTTTCATTTCCCAGCAAAATTAATCTATCATGGTACATGTACATTCTCTGACAATTCCTCAGAATTTTTTTTTATATTTTTGAAATCAAATATTTCTGAAATTAAGCAAAATGTACTCTAAGCTAACTTAGGACTGTGCTCTAGACCTGGTGTATTCCTAAGGGAATAGAGAGCCAACAGGTATTTATTCTTACTGATTGCATGACTAAATATTAATAAAATATATTAATCATATCTTAATGAATTCCATCTGTTTAACAATCTTTGATTTACCTCATTACTTAAAAAAAAATGTTACACAGAAGAATTGTCCATTACAGAAAGACAACTATAGTTGTAAGGGTCCAATCACTATGAATATATTTCATTGAACATTTATATGGGAGTGGGATACAACTCAACAATATTAGTTTTCTTTATAATATCCTTAGCTTTCAAATTTTATACATGTTTGGCCACAGAAGGAAGACACATGTTGTTTATGAGATCACAAAAAATTAATTTGTTTGTTTGTAGTCCATTCTGCGTCATCACATTTATGGTGATGTGTTAAATACACATAAATAAATACATGTATAACTTTAATTCACTCTGTCTTACAAATTAAAACCCTTCAATATTATATACAGAGGTAGTTGATGAAATGTTGACACCTACACACATTTTAAATGAACTTAAAATTTAAGAAATACCAGGTACATGTTCGAAGATTGAATTGTGTGTCTTTCAAGCTTGTTTACTTCCATTATGAATTAATAATTAAACCCTTAGTTTGGCCCTCTCTCACTTTCATATTTTTAGCTCACCTGAGCCGAAGGCTCAAGTGAGCTTTTCTGATCACATTTTGTCTGTAGTCTGTCTGTAAACTTTTCACATTTTCGACTTCTCCAGTACCAAGCTGGGCCAATTTCAACCAAACTTGCCACAAAGTATCCTTGGGTAAAGGGGATTCAAAGAGCAAGAGCCACTTAGGGCCTTTTTTGGCCCTGTGAATTTCTGAAAATTCAAAACTGTATAGTTTTAGTCAACAAGGCAGTAAATAATGCTTGAGCACTTGGTGAATGAATATCTACTGAAAATGACGTAATTTTCTTTCTAGTCAATGCATTGTGACGTCATTATTCACATAACCCGAATATTTCTTCAAAAATGACCAAAATATGATGCCATTTTTCAATATTTCATATAAAGCACAACCTTCGATCCAAAATGTTCAAATATATTATAAAAGAACTGTTAATGAAGATTATAAAACATATTTCAATTTTTGGATGGAGGGGTGTGCTCATATTTTAAGTCTTTGCTGAAGGTTCTAAAAAACACCTGTTTTCTGCAAAATTCCATAACATTGCAATTTCACACAACCTGTTTTTCAATGCCTGGACGCTTCTAAGGAAATTTTGTTATATAAACTGAAAGCACTAAGTCTCTACTTTATATTAATGTTGAAAATGGTACACGGGGTATTAGTCAATAAATTGGTATATCTACAGGGCCATTTTATGCATAAAGTGAACCTAGCTCTTTGTTCAAATGAACGGCCACGCCTTCTTCCAAGGGGAGATAATTATGAATTTGTGAAAAATTAATGGCATCATTAAAAAATCTTCTTCTCAAGAACCACTGTGCTTGAAAATATGAAACTTATGTGGAAGCATCCTCAGATAGTGTACATTCAAGTTTGTTCAAATCATGACCCCTGGGGTCGGGTGGGGCCACAATGGGCGATCAAAGTTTTACATAGGAATATATAGGAAAAATCTTTAAAAATCTTCTTCTCAAGAACAACAAAGCCATGATTGGTCATATTTACATGGAAGCATCCCGAGGTAGTGTAGATTCAAGTTTGTTCAAATCATGACCCCTGTGGGTCAGGTGGGGCCACAATGGGCGATCAAAGTTTTACATAGGAATATATAGGAAAAATCTTTAAAAATCTTCTTCTCAAGAACAGCAAAGCCATGATTGGTCATATTTATATGGTAGCATCTTCAGGAAGTGTAGATTCAAGTTTGTTCAGATCATGACCCCAGTTTAACATAGGAATATATAGGAAAAATCTTTTAAAATCTTCTTTTCAAGAACAGCAAAGCCATGATTGGTCATATTTACATGGAAGCATCCTCAGATAGTGTACATTCAAGTTTGTTCAAATCATGACCCCCGGGGGTCGGGTGGGGCCACAATGGGCGATCAAAGTTTTACATAGGAATACATAGTAAAAATCTTTTTAAAAAACTATTTCTTAGAACAGCAAAGCCATGATTGGTCATATTTATATGGAAGCATTCTTAGATTAGTGTAGAATCAAGTTTGTTCAAACAAGACCCCTGGGGGTCTGGTGTGGCCACAATGGGTGATCAAAGTTTTACATAGAAATACGTAGGAAAAATCTTTAAGAATCTTCTACTCAAGAACAGCAAAGCCATGATTGGTCATATTTAAATGGAAGCATCCTCAGGTAACCCCCCCCCCCCCAAACCACTTTTATATTTAAACTTTTCAACCTTTCAAGACTAAACTGATATCTGCTTTTTCCTAGCCATAGTGCTCAGGTGAGCGATGTGGCCCCTGGGTCTCTTGTTTTTAATTTTATATTATCTATTCCTTTATTTGCTTAGCTTGACATTGAATGATCAGTTACATTACTACATTTTGTTATATTTATTTTTGAAATAATAATTTCACAGGTGAATCACAAGAAGCAACTACCTAAACAAAGTTGAGAATCTGAGGGTGTCCTCCCAAACCTATCCTGTCCTGTTTGAAGAATTCCAGGCCAAGAAAATTGATGCACAGACTTCTACACTCTCTGCACATTTACTCGTTTTTAAATGTCTAAAATTGTTTGAAAAAGTTTAATTACTTACTGGTACCGTGTATATGCATGTATCCACATTTCAACAATGACAAAGCAATTTATTCCCAAGTCAATAAAACAATGTATCAGTGTTTTCAATATCTTTATTTGAATTCAAGATAAAAAGGTTATTACATGTACATATCAATACTTGTTTTTTTTTGTGTACTGGTAATACATGCTATGAAAAATTGTAATATCATAAAGTATAGTCACCCTGATGCTTATACTTATGTGACTTTTTTTTATTTAAGAGGTCTTCCCAAGTTAAGTCAGTAAAATCTAAATCTGCAAAAATTCAATCATTAAGGATTCAAAAATACCTTCCAGTTATGGCTGAATTGTCATGGATTCTACCTGCATGTATACTATAATTGAACTATGCCTATATAATTCAATAACTGTGAACAAACTCCAACATTATACCCCTATACATTTTTTTTTCTGAAAATGCCAATATCAGTTTTCTAACTGTGACCTTGAACTTGACAAAATGATACTGGTTAAGAAAGAAAAGATGCATCTTCTATTCATCATAAATCTTTAAATAAAAGGGAGATACTTACTGTTTCTCAATTAAGACATTATGGACCTGACATGAGCAATTTTTTTGCCAATGACCTTGAACTTGCCACAATATCATGGGTAAAGGTTATGAGGTACTTTCAGCTTACAAATAATCTTTGAAGTTTCCAGTTTCAATACTTATCCATGAGGGAGTAATAAAATGAAAACAAATTTCACACAGTTACTGCCAGTAACCTTGACATTGGATAAGGTCATGAAACACCATTTAGTCATAAGCAATCTTAGTGTCAAGTATCATTTGCAAATTATGCATTTGACAAAGGTAATACACTTTTTCTGCCAGTTATCTTGAACTTGCTTAAAAATGACCTTTATTTAAGATCAGTCATAACCACAGGTCATGCTCAATATTTGCGATAAGTATGAGCCTCTAAATGTTCTCAATTACAAGATATAGTCAAACAGGAATTATAGATTTTTATAAATTTTTATTTTATAAAATCACCTTAAACTTCATCAAATAACCTTGGGTCAAGGCCATCACACATATATTCAATCTATGCATGAGGCACAAACTTCCAATGCTTCTTCAATAGGAAATCAGGGTTTGGGCTACAGTCAGCCTTTTCATTCAGCCCTCACTCAAAAAGTGTAAGGTAAATATGAACAACATAAAGAAAAGAAAATGAAAGAAAAGACAAAAATTGTATATTACTTATAGATGAATGAAAAATGAAAGATATACTTGTGTATTGGGAGCTAGAATTAAAAAAAAAATCAAAAATCTTAATTTATAAACTTGACTGCCGTTAAATTGAATGTATTGTGTAAAAATATTATACATGTGAAATATTCTACCTTTCTCTACCATTGGCCCATACATGTCTGAGAGAGGAACAAATGACAACTCTGCATAGGAGATTGATATCCTACAAGTTTAAATAAGGTCCACAGTATCAGTAAACATAATAAAAAACTATACTAACATCACATGTAATTTTTTTTTCTGTAGCCAGAAGATTAATAATAGGACAATAATTTCTTCTTGGGTTGCAGTTTTGTTGAAATGTATACAGTGAATTGTTAAATTATGGTCACTTGACATAGGTGGAGTAAAACCTCTCTTATTGATAAAACTTGGATATGTCAGAGTTCCACAGATCCATATAGGGCATTCAGGACAGGTGGGTTCAGTTTCTGGTGGCCAGATAGTTAAATTGGTAGAGTAAATGACTACTGATTCAGGGAGCCCTGACTTGAATCCTGGTCTGGTCCATACACCCCATTGCTTATCTCTTTTCTGTCTATGCAAAGAACTTGACAATGCAGACTTTCCCTCAATGATAGAAGTGCTTGTCTCTGCAGACTGTACTTGTGACCTACACATACACAAGGAAAAATCTTTTAAGACTAAGAGAACATAGTGTCTTTTTGAATTGATCTATTTCACGTTTCAATGTTGTTAACAGCATATTTCTAAGTTATAATAAAAAAATACATACACATGTAAAAATTAACTCACACTTTTTTAGGTAATCATATTGACATGTTACAATCACTGGAATCTTGGACATCCTTCGCATTCAAAGACAAGTGTCACAGAAAGTGTGTTGGACATACCCTTGTTGCACTTCATATCTGAAACAATGACAGAAAAAATTTGTAGGGGATGTTTCATTAATCATTACACATAACTGATCTTTTCAAATTAAATACAGTGGTCTGCAACTGCACTAGAAAAACATGAAATCAAAAGGCCCATGGCCACAATGATCACCATAGTCACTATGGCCATGTTGTTCTTTATAAGCAGACCCCCTCCCCCCTCTTCCGAAGTAAAACTTGATTGTTTTGCCTGTTCTAGCTGGCTCAACCCTAGCCCCTGGAGACATGAGGATCCCAGCTTCCTTAGAAATATTACTTATCTTTTTATTGTTCTTGAGAAGAGATTTTTAAAGATTTGTTTCCATATATATTCCTTTGTAAAACTTTAATTGCTCATAATGGCCCCACCATACCCCCAATGTCATAATTTGAACAAATTTGATTGAACGTACAATACACAACCTAATGCTTCCATGTAAATACAGTTGAACTTCAGTATCGAGAACACTGATATCTTGAATACCATGGATATGTCGAAGTCCCAATTGCTTATTGTTTAAGTAATATACCCTTGATATCTTGAATCCTCAGATATCTCAAAGTTTTTTCTTAGTCCAATTGAGTTTGAGATAATGAGATTTTACTGTATGAACAATTATGCCTTAGCTTGATTGAGAAGATTCTATAAAAAATTCCTACATATTCAAATGTAAAACTTGATCACCCATTGTTGCCCCATACTACCCTAGAGGGTCAATTAAGCTATGAATGATTGTGAATCTACACTATATAATAAAGCTTGCACATAAGTTTCAACTCACCTTGCCCAGTGGTTCTTGAGAAAGATTTATATTTATCAAATATATCATAAAATTTTCACTAATTATTTATTATCTCCTATTGAAAGAGAGCGGGACCTTTAATTTGAATATCTTTCATTTGATCCACAAATTTAGATCAGAATTCAAAGTTCAATTGAGCCTTCAGCACAGGAAAGCTAAATATGTTTAAAAATCATTTCATTCTAAGAAGGGGGATACAGGGCTATTTTTCAAGTCAGCTTATTTCTTTCCATACCAGTGAAGGACAAACTAACTATTTTCAAGATGATAAATACAGAAAAAAAAAATTTTTCTTCACTTATAACATTTTAACCCCCCCCCCCTTACACACACACACAAGGGGGGGGGGGACAAATTATTTGTTTTCAACATTTTGAGGTTCAGATTATTTATTTCCAAAATCTGCAAGTCACTTCCCCCTTTCAGAATCAAATGATCTACTCGCTTTCCACAGGCACTTGTTTCTGTAATACTTTTTTTAACCCATAGTATGATAGTATATTAATAACATAAGGTATCCAACTCGTATGCAGGTACATGTAACGATCACAGGGAGTGCTTCCGGAATGTAAACAATGTTAATAAAGAGAAAGAAATATTTGTAGATCTACTAAATTGTATCAGTCATCACGATGGGTTTTAAGATATATATATTCTTAATTTATATTGTTTACATTTCGGGAGCAAGCCCCTGTGATACGTGATCGGCTAAGTTTCTTACTCTGAACTTCTTTCCATTAAATCAGTTGATCAAGCACTTGTAGAAGGACAGCTCCCTTTTTGTGTCGTATCTTGTGGTCATTGTTACACCTGCAAGTCAGTAATTTGCTCACAAATACCATAAAAACACCACATCATGCCCACATGTTCTACTTTCTCGTCTCTACTTTCGTTTTGATTTAATGCATTTCCGTGAATATAAAGCTTACTTCCGGTAAAGGGAGAAGTCATTAAAAATGTTTTTTAAATAAAAATAATGTAGAGAGATATCTCTTTACAGTAAAGAGATATCTCTTTTTGCTTAAGAGATATCTCTTTTGGACACTTTTGAAAGATATCTCTTTCACTTTGAGAGATATCTCTTATGATAAACTTAGTGAGATATCTCTTTTACTTTGAGAGATATCTCTTTAACTTGGAAAGATATCTCTCAAAGTAAAAGAGATATCTTTCTAGGTGAAAGAGATATCTCTCTAAGTGAAAGAGATATCTCTTTAACGCTAAGAGATATCTCTCTTAACGAAAGAGATATCTCTCAAAGGAAAAGAGATATCTCTTTTAGTGGAAGAGATATCCCTCTAAGTGAAAGAGATATCTCTCTAAGTGAAAGAGATATCTCTCTTAGTGTAAGAGATATCTCTCTAAGTGAAAGAGATATCGCTTTCTTAGAGAGATATCTCTTTAAGTTGAGAGATATCTCTTTAAGTTGAGAGATATCTCTGTTTTTTAAGAGATATCTTTCTAAAATAAGAGATATCTCTGTAATTCTGAGTGAAAATTTATTTTACGAATAAATAGTAAAAGGGCTTGCCATATAGATGCATCCTCAGTAGTATACAAACCATGACCCTCGGGGTAGGGGGAACAATAGTAGATCAAACTTTGGTGTAGAAATATATGGGATTTTTAAAAAAAAAAAAAAAAAAGAAAAAAAAAAAAGAAAAAAAGTCTTCTAAAGCCATGATTAGTCAAAATATATATAAGTATCCACATACTGTATAGATTCCAGTTCGTAAAAACCTTGCCCCTCGCCTCCCCATTTGAGGAGATATATATTTAAACTTTTCAATACTGAACTGATTTCTGCTTTTCTCTATAGCCAGCGCTCGCTTCGTGATCGGGAGGTCGTGAGTTCGAATCTCGGCCGCGACTGACCTAAGTCGATAAAAAATGGGTAGCAACTGTTCCTTGGCCATGCGCTCGGCACTTTGAAGTGAAAGTTGCGGGTCCTTCGGATGAGACCTTAAAAACCGAGGCCCCGTGTCACGGCAGGCGTTGGCACGATAAAGATCCCTCACTGCTCAATGGCCCTGAGTGCCGAGTAAAGGTCAAAATTTGAAGCCCTTCACCGGTATATGGTGACGTCTCTATATGAGTGAAAAATTCTCGAATGGGACGTAAAACAACATACAATCAATCAATCTCTATAGCCAAAGTGTTCAGGTGAGTGATGTGGTCCATGGGCCTCTTGTTAAAGATGGTAGCATATTTCACTTTTTTCTAATTATCTCTTTTTAAAAGAGGATGTTCATGACTCTTCTTTCGAATAAACTTGAATTCCCTACACTAAAGAAGGCTTAATTTAGGGCAAGTTTGGTTGAATTTAGTTCTTTAATTGGTTCATAAGAACAAGTCGAAAATGGTAAAAGTTTACAGACTGACAGACAATGGAAAAAGCTCACTTGAGCATTCACAGAGCTAAAAAGCAGTGTCGTAAGTGCTGATATGGGGGAAGGGGGGCAACTATAGATCGATACGTTGTCACTTAAGTACTGCTAATTGTTAAGCGGTGTAAATCACTAAATAAAGGGGGGAGCCTTTCCATTTGTTGAAGAAGCATGTCTATAGGGAAAAAAGCAAAAATTGTCTTTTCTCTAAAATAGGCGGGCCATTCACTCTTGTAATTTATATTTATGCGTATTTCGGAACGAAAAGGTGTGTTCCCCTTAGATCCGCCACCGAGCAAGATGGATAGTGACTGTCCTTATGTAGATCCGCCATGCACCGAGTTACATGGATGGTTTTGGATTTCTTTGACTTCATATATTGTTTAACAAAATAATGAATATAATTATTAAGTGTTCATGTTTTCTTCATGTATATATTTTATTTTAAGATATTAATTTCCGTTTAATAAAATCACTCGCGTGTAACATACCTCCTGATTAATGCCTGCAGGGTCATAATTAAGGTCCTGGCCATAAGTCTCTATATGTTCTCTATTTCTATTGGGTTTTAGTTTTGAGATCTTGTGTTTTATTGGTTTACTAAATTCCCCCCAAATATTCTGGTTTGCTCTGGTCAGTCTTTGTCCAGATTAGCACAGGTACACTGTATACAAAACTTTGAAAATGTGACCACTATGATACTATAGTACTTTCCTCGTCTTTTGGTAAGCTTATATCAATTTTGTTGTGAAAGTGTTTTATTTTAGTGTACAACGTACATGTAGGTAGAAAGTCCAGATGGTATAAAGGGTAATTTTCCTCCGACTTTTTTTAGACCACTACTGGGATATGTTCTCTTATATAGTTCCGGATCATAACACTCCATCTCGATCCTTAAGTCCACTTTCAGGTACAGAATATCATGCAGGAAAAGGGGGGTGGGTGAGTGGACTGCCAAAGCCACCTCCACTATTTTTGCCGTCAAGATCACACGCAACGTAACTTAAAATGTACCTAGCCCATTGATACATGTAAATTTCCAAGATCTTTTTGATTTAAAATCAATAGTACCATCAAAAACTCAGCATACATTTACCAGCTGTTTTGAACACATATCAAGAAAATCCTTGTTTTATTCAAAGAAAAATGTACAAAATTTACAAAACATATCGTTTTACTTTTAGCGATATTTCCTCAAAATTTTTTTAAAAAAATTATGCTGAATATTCATTTTTTTAAAAAGTCGCACAAATGCCCTTAAAATTATTGGAATTCTTTGATTAATATATATATATACAGGGAATAAGAAAATAAAGTTTAAATTTTCATTGAAAGGCCCTTTTTGATGAAGTACGTACGATCATAGTGTTAATCTATCCCTTTTTTTTTTTTTTTTTTTTTTTTTTTTGCACAAAAAGAGCATTGTCTCCTACCCCCTCAACCTAAAAAGCTGTTACACGAACGTGCCTGTTCGTCTCTTACCAGTCTTTGCACTGTTGAATGAAAGGGTTTAGTCAGGCCCGTAAATGTAGGAAGCAATTTCAAAGGGGGGGGGGGGTAATCTTTAACAAGGTCACCAGACGCTGTTGAGAAGGAACAACAACAACAACAAAATAGTAGTATTTTCTAATGTATAGTATAAACTGACCAAATTATTGAGAAGCACAACTGTAAATTATAACTTTTTTTTGGAATGAAGTATAAAAAATTATTGGGGGCACCTGTTCTGAATAATAATCTACACGTAACTGGGACTGATAATCTAGTCCCACTTGCCAGTATTGCGGTAGAAAAATGTCTTTCCCAGCTACTACTAGGATGGAAAATAATGGAAATATGAAAGCCTAGATTGATACTTTTTAGTGGAGGAATATATATTTTGATGGGGGTGTTTTTTTTTTTTTTTTTTTTTTTTTTTTTTTTTTTTTGTTCCTTTTTACATGTTCTATTTTTTTTTTATTACAAGTATGTGTGGGTCAACTATATTCCATTACCGTGTGTAAAAATGTAATGCCAATCTGTAAATAATAATAATTAAAAAAACCAATATAATATATGATTGTTTTATCTGAATGAATTTCCATTGGCAGATCAATATGTCAGCTTTAACCTTTTAACCTTTTAAGGTACAGTGTATAATTGCGCATGTCTCATGCATGAACACTGCTCTCAACATGCTCAAGAGGCCATGTCTAGGTACTGTAGTTTATGAAAGATACAATTATCTACAAAAAATGTGAAAGTAAGTTGGTTTTTTTTTTGGTGTATTTGATATTATTGAATGTGTATTATACTTTGTAAGGCACTGGTCGACTTTGGTACTGTCGGTCTCCACGTGGTAGGTTATAGCGAACACTCGTATGACTCGGGCCGGATTTAGGGTATATTTGTGATCAATGACGCTCGGGGGGCGAGGGGGGGGGGGTATATCTGTAATGCTTAATCTTGTATGTGTCTGCAATCCCAGTGAGTGTCCACTTAATCCACCCATAACGCGTACAAATAAATAATTTGTTGTAAAGTAAAATACATGGGAAAAATCTATTTTTCAATCAGAGTTATCCACCTTTGATTTTGATCTTCAAAAAGAAGGTAGAGATGTTTCTTGCACACAGTAGGACGAAATCTGGCTATAAAGAACAATGTCACCGGTATTTCTTAGAGTTTTATTTTGCCTAACGCATTCTGATTCAAAAACTTAAAGGAATATTACTAAATTTGCTTGTCGTCTTTAGAACATGGGATTTCCATGGGATATACATGTTCCATATTTTCAAAAGTTATGTCCCTTGACTGCAATCTCACCATACAGAGACATATAATAGAGGGACCGCTGACTCATTCGGGACGTTTCTTGACTTTTCACTTTAAGTTGGGTACTTTAATTCTGAATGGAAAATGATGTTCCGATTTTCGCAGCGCCCTCACCAGGAGGCATAGAAACTATAAACAGTATGGCGTACGTTTCATCATTGAATGGGTAGTAAACATCGCTACAACTCCAATTTTAAGCAAAATTTACTCGTGGCATTAATCATAGGGGGATGAGTTACTTTCGTTTTCATGACAACAAAGAATTAAGAACAAATTGATCTACAGTAAATTGATGGAATCGATCTTCTAACCCCGACTCGAGTTGCATTTGTTCATGATGGCTCGTCTTCTTTACAACCTCTAGTCTACACTAAGAAATACACTGTAACATGTATTTTATAGTGTAGGATAAGAAGACCTTTTTTGACAAGGCCATTTGTTTGCCATGTCGGTTTTGCACTGGCATGCATTATTTTATTTAGTGGTTACCTATACATGTATGTAGGTGCTAGATTTCATGCAGCTAGGTTAAATTGGTGTATTTCCCGTATTTTTTTTTTATTTTTTTTTTATATATATATCGTTATATAAATATATCTGTATATATT